AATGCATCGTGCTCACTCAGAAGCTCAGGCCGCCTCGCGACCCTCACCTACCCGTCCCGGCACCGCCGCCGCCCAGCCCGTCGCCCGCAGCCCGCCGCCTCGGGGTCGCCCCGCCGAGAGCCCAGAGCGCAGGCGCGGGGTCTTAAAGGGACACGCCACCTCTACCGCACACCCTTGTTAGGGCGCTGTGAGGGGGATGGACGGAGGGAGCGGGGACCGGAAGTCCGTCTCTCCCCTGGCCTCTCTTTCAAAGCACCAGCCCTGGATCCTGCAAATCGCTGATTTCCCTGCCACTTGAACCGCCCCTGCCAGATTAAACAGGCAGGAGACACACCCCCTCAAAGGACCTGAGTGATCTGGTGCCTTGGACTGCAGGCATCACACTGCCGCATCGCCCCTGAGTCTGACTGTCAGGCCCGGGGACGCAGGTGCGCAGGCTTTGGAAGGCAGCCCCCAGTACCCCCGAGAGGCGGCCTTGGGTCACTCTGAAAAACAGTGGTCAATGTGTCAATGGCACTTGTACTTATTTTCTAATTTAAATTTGGAACAGATTTTGCAGATGGACTTCCACTGAAATAAGCCTGTCAGGAAAAGAAAAACTTTTTTTTAGGAAGATTAAGAAATAACGAGATAGGAAGTCAAGCCATGATGTCCACCCAGCTACAAACTTTAAAAACATGACATTTTATCTAAGGTAAATGTTTGCCATTATTTAAAGTCAATTTCAATTAACAATGCCATTGCAAATGACTCCATCTTGTAGAAGAAATGTAAGATATAGCCCTGATAATCTACCTCTCCCCTCCTGTATGCCATCCATCAGCAAATCCTACTGGTTTTTACCGTGCAAATTTTCCTGGAGTCTGTCCTCCTCTATCTCCTCCATCACCACACTGGTCTAGGCTACCTTCACCTGGGGAGTGGGGGTGGACGGATGACCTAGTCTTCTTGTGGTTTACACATATCCCTTCTATCGCCTCTCTAATCTCAACACAAGAGGCAGAGTCGCTTTTTCATAATATAATGTGACCCTGTCACCTCCCAGCCTAAACCACTTAAACACCTTCCCATTTTTGTAGACAAAACTTCCTAACTAACCACCCCTGAATGGCCAGGCGCCTTTCCCACCTCTCCATCTCTTCTCACTGCTCAGACCGATTCCATCCTGCTCTCCCTGCTCCAGACAAACTGGCCCCTTTTATTCCCTATTTTCCAGCTTCCTGGCCTCCACAGAGCTGTCGCTCATGCTTTGCACTGTGCCTGAAAGTTCTTCCAACCCTCATCCTTCTGACATCGAGAACAGTCTCCACCTCTGAGAAGCACCTTCTCACCTCCCTGTGGTGGTCTCTTACTCCTATCGCATTACATGTACAATACACCTAACAAGGCTTCTACCAAAAATGCTCTTAGTAACCTCATTTTTATTCTAAGGAAAACCTGGGTAAAACACAAACCTTCATCCTCAGAAGAATTGAATACCAACTGTTACATAGTCATAAAATGATCCCAGAAGTTCACTCTGTAACATCAAAACCAGAAACCCACAGCGATGCCACTGATGGAAGAAAATCATGATACAAAAATGAGAGAGAGAGAGAGAGGGAGGGAGGGAGAGGGAGAGAGCGAGCTGTGCTATAGCCATAGTAGTGGGTAAAAGCCAAGAGCTTAATTTCTATCATGATATTCAACAGAAGAACCGAAGGAACATGAGCCAATAGCTCTAAGGGTCCAGGTCTGCACAAGGTGCCTGCTGGGTACAGGGTTCTGTCGGCTCCCACAATGCATCTCAGATGGGCTAATTGTTATGGACATGGCCCCTACAAAATTCTAGCAAAGAATAATAATTTACATGCTAATTTACCATTTTTAGGAGGGAGAACAAGCATTAGTTTGGTTACATCAAATAAAAGCAAAACCAAGATTTGCGAAGAAAAGAGGAAAGGGAAGAAGAAAAATATCACCTGGGATCTTTGTGATTTTGCTGCCCTTGGAAGAGGGACTTGACAGACAGCTTTTAAAAAGGTCACTGTGGCCTGTCTTCTCCAGACCCGCATGACTTGGTCACCACAGAAAACAATTACAGATGTTGGAGGACTTTAAAATATCTTAAAAGCTTAGCAGTTCATCGTATGCCGCAGAGTATCTGTGTGTGATGTCCAGCATGTCCTTCTGTTGGCCACCCCCTCAGTTAAGCCAGGAGGGCGCCTCTCCCCTCAGTGGAATATCATACATCGATGTGTAGAAAGTTTGCTGTGCCGGCAAGTAAGTGACAAAGAGACCTTGTTAGAATTGGGAAACAAATTGGGACTATGATTTGGTCCTGCTCCCTTGGAAGATAAGTTTGTAGAAGGTATTCAAATTAGAAGCATTAAATAAATACTGTAATGTAAAAATGACACATCCTGCTCTCTACACTACAGAAATACCTGCACAAGTGACCAAAGAAATGTGTACAATAACGGTGGGGACTGCAGCACCATTTGTAATCCTAACACCATGAAACCCACCTCATTTCAAAATCATTTATTTTTTTGAGACCAGGTCTCACTGTTGTCCCCCAGGCTGGAGTGCAATGGTGTGATCTTGGCTCACTGAAACCTCCACCTCCCAGGTTCAAGCGATTCTCCTGCCTCAGCCTCCCAAGTAGCTGGGATTAAAGGCGCCTACCACCATGCCTGGCTAATTTTTGTAGTTTTAGCGGAGACAGGGTTTCACCATGTTGACCAGGCTGGTCTTGAACTCCTGACCTCAGGTGATCCACCCGCCTTGGCCTCCCAAAATGCTGGGATTACAGGCATGAGCCACCATGACCAGCCTTCAAAAACATTTGAAAAGGGTTAAATAAATTACACAAACTGAGGAAGAAATGCTGTTTTCACCAACCATGGTGAGGATCAGCATGAGGATGACTGATTCCACTGGTCACATTATTGATAGAGCAATCAGTAAACCCAGGCACATCCTGAGGATAGGATGCTACTGTAATAGGTCTCCTATTATTATAAATGAAAAACTTGAGGCACCTTGCTCACCCAAGCCTTCCATGGCAACAAAGAAGAGTTTTATCCAGAAGTGAATTACTGTCTACGGTCTCTGGGATTCCTGAGTTTGACATGTATAATGTGCAGTTGGTCCTTCTCACAGCATCAGATGTAAGAAGGTCGGGAAGAGGACATGTGTGTCTCAGGATTAATGTCCCATGATTAACCTAGTTGGTTGTATATTAACAGAAACAGGTTAACCTGTTTGATTGAAACGGGTTAAGACACAACACGAGGCGTCCCTCAATGGGATTGAACCACCAACCTTTCGGTTAACAGCCCAATGCGCTAACCAATTGCACCACAGAGACAGTGACTACCGCTTCTACAGGATGCTGTAGGCAGGGCGCACTCACCAAACTACCCCCAGCCTTTCTGTCCTTAGGATGACTGAGGAGGCCTTGGAAAACTGGAGACATTAGAGACCGGTGAGTCGCTCTGGTCACGTTGAACACCCGCGTGTTGGGAGATTCTGGAGCCAGGACAGTCGAATGGCCTTCATCCACCCTGCCCCTGGCCTGCTTCAAAAGTCCCCGGAAACGCCCCCATCCGAAACCTGCCGGAGCCTCCTGGTGGCCCAAGGGAAGCTGAGCGCCCGGCGGGCTCCGGGGATGGCTCTTCAAGTTCTTTGCGCCGCCTTCACCCGGTGAGAGAGCCTGTGCCCACCCTACCCAGGCGCTTTCTGGGTGCTGCGGAGCTGCCGCTGCAGTGTTCGGATCCTGTTTTCCCGGACGGGGG